TGATCATCGACGACATCGGCAACATGTAACTCCAATTCCATCTTCTCCCCCTCAATTCTTTTCAATTTTTGCTTCAAATCCTCGTTTTCTCTTTCAACTAAATTTAACCTCTCGACAATAGGGTCGGTTGGAATTTCCGGTTCAACTACCTCCTACATACAAATATCTATGTCAACTTGATGGGCATAATTTGTCATAAACACGAAATGCAATGAATAGTTTTAAAAGAGAATATACCACATCCGAATCATAACCCAGACGAGGGCCGACGGGCACGGATATCAAAACGATGGCACTATGTATAACAAACAACGTATGGGTAAGATAATTATACGAGTAACTATGTATCCAAATCACACAAACATCAATTTTTATATAAAACTTCATGAATAAGAGGCTCACCACAAGGTGGTGCCGGCGGCGGGACGTTACGAGCGATCGACGGTGGTTACGACGGAGATTTAGAAGGTACTAAGTAAACCACACCTACATATGCAAACTAAGTGTTATTTTTGACCTCAAATTGCATATACATCAAATACTAGCACATATATATAATTCCTCCCAAATTACTAAACTCAAAAATCAATCACTATATAAAGCATTGCACGAGCTAATCTAGCAATGAGAGATGAAAGGACAAAGTTGCTAACCTTTGTGATCATTTGAATGGATGGGGACCTTCAAATCTTGACAAATTTTGGGCAAAATGTGTGATGAGCTTGAGAGGAAGAGGGAAAAGAATAGAGAGGAGAGGGGAAAGGGGAAGAACAGAGCGAGCTTGGGTGGACGAAGGGTCTATGTAGGACGACCTTTAGTACCGGTTCGTGATACGACCCGGTACTAAAGGTGCTGGAGGGGCCCTGAACTGACAACATCATGCCACCACTCGCTTTAGTACCGGTTCGTGACACAAACCGGTGCTAAAGGTTCGCCACGAACCGGTACTAATGAGAGCGGCCGGCTAGCCGTTGGAACCGGCACTAATGCACACATTAGTGCCGACTCAAATTCAAATTGGCACTAATGTGCTTCACATTTGACCATTTTTCTACTAGTGTTAGGTATGATTGACATGGCTTTATTTTGTCATCTTGGTTCAGTCTATGAGCAGGGCCCTGATGTATTCCACTCATTGGAACCATATATATAATAATAGATGAAATGATGCTTGACAATGTTAATGGTTAAAAGGTATGAGAGGACAGGGGCAAGAACAACTAACCAAAATGAAATATGCAAGATGAGATGTATGGAACACAGCAAACAAAGGACAACAAAAAATAAAAAATGAAGACAAATCCATATATACACAGCGCCGAAACAAACAAGAATAACCTCCAGCCCGTGCTGGGCGCAGCATGCATATACGACAGTCAACACAGGCCATGCACAAGCAACAAACATGCACATCCCAGCGCAGATACTCAAGCAGTAAACCAAGCCCGCGTGAGGCGCCCGGGTGGTCGCGGGCTCAAGGCGGGGACGACAGGCCAGCAAAGGACCCCGCGAGCGGCCGCCGTACCAGCGCGCATCGGATGCGTGTCATGCATGAAGCCAAGGCGCCTTGTAGCAATCGATCCAATCAGAGACGATGAATATGTGGATGGCGTACAGGCGCCCTATCCGCCGAACGGCGACGAGCAGGCACGCTATTCGGCGAACGACGACGGGCAGCGCAAACCATAAAATTTCCAGACACTATCCGCCGAACGGCGACGAGCAGGCGCACTATTCGGCGAACGACGACGGGCAGCGCAAACCGATCTATACTGGAGAACCAAAAAAGAACACCGATCAATCAATCGGCGAGAGAGAAAACTCCCCAATCAACCCTAGAAGGCAGTGCAGCCCCCGTGACGATCATAGAGATTGACCGCCCCGGGGATGGCACGGCGCGAATGCAGCGGCCAGGGTTTGGATCGGGTTAGGCTGATATCATGTAAGAGGATTAGAATGGAGAGAATTGGCGTAATGCGGTGGTGGTTGTATTGAGCCTCCCGGACGGTTTATATAGAATACAAGGTTTGGAAGGCAAGAAGCCTCTCAGGCAGGAGATGATTACAAGTCATAGTCTACCAAATGCAGAGATATTCCTATATACTCTGATAATTCCAACATGTTAGGAAAATATGAACGATATTTGTATGGCTTTCGTTCCACCAGATCGGCGTGTGCCACTACACAGACCCGTCCCCAACTGATGCAACGCGACCGAGAGGCTCGCCACCACTGTCATGCAGAGCCACACATGCAAATCTCAGGAAGATACAGGGCCTCCACCGCGCGCCGCCATCGAGGAGGCGTGCACCGTCAAGGATGCACGCCATATCCGGCAACAGGTCTACCACGACCGTATATGGGTGAGCATCGTTGCCCACCCATCTAAAATCATGCATACACTAGACCCTTGCTTAGGAGGCCAGATCCGGCGGCAGGTCTACCACGACTCCAACGGCTTCCCGCGTGAGGACGGCCATGTTGCCGCGGATGCCGCGCGGGCTTTTATCCGTGGGCGTCCTCCACCATCAGTGAGGGAAGGAGATGAGGCGGAGGGTGGCGACGGCTGGCCAGGACTACCCCCAAGAGGAGCGACGATCTATGTGGGTCATGATCGAGTAGTCTTCTTCTCATTGCAAACGTATTTAGTTTTCTTAGAAATGCCTGATAATAAGGCTTTGTCGTCTTTGTTCAATCTATGAGCTGGGTACCGACGTATTCCACTCACTCCGACAATATATAATAATAGATCAAATGATGCTTGACAATGTTCATAATAATGATTAAAAAGCATGATAAGGTAGACGCAAGAACAACTGAAAACAAAAATAAGACAAATCCATATATACACAACGCAAGAACAAATGTAGGGGCTCAAGTTTTCCCCGGTTTTTAAATTTCGGAATCTTTCTTCAATCCTGGACAAACGGAGGAGGGCGTGCTTGTGGTTCTCCTGTCAAACACTCGAGTGGGGATTTCATGTTGGCTCAGAGAACGGTGTTGTACAAACTTATAGGACAATGCTACTAGCTACAGTGTAGCTACAGTGCCTAGAGCTTGACACGCCACGCTAGTGTAGTACTACTATAGCCAGTAGGACTGCCAAACCTTTTGCACCAAAAGCGAACCAATTTGTGGTTGGACGGTTAGAGGGATTGTGGTATTCCCAGCCCATCAGGGTTTAAATTCTGGTGCTCGCATTTATTTCTGGATTTATTTCAGAATTTCCGGCGATGCGCATTCAGTGGGAGGAGACGTTCTCGTTGATGACGAGGTGCCTACGGTGACTTCATAAATTTCAAGATAATATGCCGGCTCGGTCTTTCGGAGGTGCTCATAGGGGTAGGGTGTGCGTGTGTACGTTCATAGGGGTGAGTGTATGCGCATGTATACGAGCGCTTGCGTCTATACTGCGTTAAAAAAACTTTTGCACCAAACAAAGCAAGAAGCCAATTGCCTTTAAAAGAAAATTAAATGGGCCATATGTGATATGTCACGTAGTAAGTAGTTGTCCTTTATATGAGCTATCGAAATGCTAGCTTGAGAGTGTCTGGGAGTTATTATCTGTTCGTGACCTTTTTCTTTTGTGCAAGAGTTTGGTGGTGAGGTTTCAGCTAACAACCGTGGAATGAATACATACATGGAATATAAAGTAGAATTCGGATTTTAGATGGTACTCCCTCCAATTCAAAAATGTATAATGTTTTGAATGTTTTAATATGAACTATATACAGACTGAAATGACTGAACGGGGACACACAAAAACGTGCCATCAATGCAAAAGGTTCAGGGAAGAATACGTGTATTTTATGGTACTATGTCGTTCCTAATGAATAATCGAGTCGTGCAAATTTTGTAATGAAACTTCATTGGCTTTTGAGTGGCAATCTATGAATGTTAACTACTTTCAAAATCTACATTACATTTTGTAACGGTTAAATTTGCATGATGCCTTGGAGAATGGATGGTGGCGGGGCCTATTTTGGTTGTTAATATATCAGGAAACACGTGAATATGAAGAATGTAGGAATTGAGTGCCATGGTATTGTTAAATTATGAGAAACTCTGAAATAAAAGGTGTGTAATACAAGTTGTTCCGTCGCACTATAGAAAAGATGCATAATTTTTCATGAAAAATTGGACCAGTGTGACAATTTAAGACGTTGAACTTAATAGAATCATGTTGAAGAACAACTTGCAAAAATAGACTTAGTCTACAAAATCAAACAATTTCCATAGGCAAAAAAACTTGAGAGTTGGAGTATAGACAGAACACGCCAAAATCTCTAGGAAATTCGTCAGTTGCAGCAGATCAACTCAAAGAAAAAAAGAAAAAGAAAAGGCAGCAGCAGAAGATATGGTTGTTGGCTGTACCAAGGAGACAATGAACACTTCACCTTCACTTCAGACCATTGTCCATTGGTCCAAGCAGAGCAACCCCACCCACCACAGCTTTGTTCTTCGGTTCTTCCAGTAACTCTCTCTCTCTCCCTCTCTCTCTCAAATACTAGTTGTGATCTGATTCTGATCTCCTCTCCGGCCGGTCAAAATTTCAGGTGGTGCACCGGTCGATCTCTATGGGGGAGCAGCAGCAGCACAAGAAGAGGCCACGGAACGCGGAGGGGAGCGGCGGCAAGAAGTCCAGCGTCCTGGCGCTATCCTACAGTCCGGTGGCTACCGTGGCACCATCGGCACCGGCGGCGCCCAGCCCCGTTGCTATGGCAAAGCCAGCCCCCACGGTGGCCGTGACCAGTCCTCTGGCCGCCATGCCGCCGGCACCGGCCGCCCCCGGTCCAGCGGCCATGGTGGAGGGAGACATGACTACGCCAGCCGCCACGGTCGTGGTGACCAGTCCAGTGGCCGCCATGCCGCCGTCGCCGGCCGCCCCCAGTTCAGCTGCCATGGTGGTGGATCTGGAGCCGACCGGTCCAGTGGCTACTGTGAAGCCAGTCCGCGTGGTGAAGCCGGAAGACGAAGTGGCCGAACAAGAAGATGCGGCAATGGCAGCCGGGGCGACGGAAGATGTGGAGCTCGCCATCTTGGCCTTGCCCAAGAAGTCGTTCCACTGCGCCGCCTGTCTTTGCCCCCTCAAGCCTCCAGTATTCAGGGTACTCACGTGCTCCGACTCCTACATTTGAGCTACTAGTAGCTAGAATTATCTGTGGAAGGAGAATGAAGGTTGAATCATGCGTACATCGACTTGTGGTTTGCAGTGCGAGAACGAGCATTTCGTGTGCCAGGCCTGCGGCGGCAACAGTGTCGACGGCGGCGGCGCGAACAAGCACTGCGGTCCATGCGGGCGCGAGGTATCCTACACCCGCTCCCGCTTCATGGACGGCGTGGTCGACGCCTACAAGGTGCCGTGCCTCTACAAGGGACACGGCTGCGCCATGGACGACATCCCCTACCACTCGGCCGCCGACCACAAGGCCAGCTGCAAGCACGCGCCCTGCTACTGCTTCGACTGCCGCTTCGTGGGCTCGCCGGCCAAGCTCGTGCGCCACCTCGCGTCGCCGTCCGGCGCGCACGCGTGGCCCGTGGAGAAGATCAAGTACGAGGTGCCCCACCCGTTCGTCGTGCCGGCGTCGGAGGAGGAGGACCAGCGCCGCCTGCTGGTCGCGGAGGACGGCCGCGTGTTCCTCCTGGCCGTGGGCGCCGGCAGGGACCCGGGCGGCCGCCGCGCCGTCACCGTCGTGTGCGTCAGGGGCAACGCCGACGCGGACGCGGACGCCAAGCCTCTGTGCACGGGCGTGCTCTGGGTGGACGGCCCTCCGGCGCCCCCGCGCCAGCCGCTGGGGTGCAGCTTCAGGCTGAAGGCGACGGTGGCGAGCTGCTCCGTCCCCGGCGTCGTGGACATGGACCAGGGCTGGCTCCACGCCCATGTCAGCCCCAACATGCTGCACGGCCACGGAGGAGAGTCCGGCGACTGCGAGCTTCATCTGCGCCTTTGTCTCACTAAGCTAGCGTGAATTAGCCGCGCCTCGCTGGCTAACCTAGCTAGCTAATCATGATCGCCTTTGCTACTGTTTTCGTCCTAGATCCACATGAACCCCACCCCAGTACTAGCAGTATGATTTTATGATGGAAAACCTCGGTATGGATGGATTTGTAGGGTGCTCCTTCACCCGTTAATGACTCGCTAATTTGCAGATGATTTGCACTTCTTTGTGTGGTGGAGCAGGGTTTTGGTTTTTGAAATGAAAAAAATGGAATCTCTGTCTGCCCACGTTGTATACTCTGTTCGTATGGGAGCAGGGCTCACTGGCAGGGATCACGAATGCATCACATCTTGCCCTTTTGTTGCAAGATCATCGATCGGCAGCGCCACCACGCACATGCGAAGCTCTGACCGCCTGCCCGTGATAAGAGGAGAAACCAATCTTGCCGACGGCATCCTCTTTGCACTCGAAGTAGTCATCATAACCACTCCCTCTTTAATACGATTGAAAACATGCCTACTTATACGGAACCGGCGGCGAAATTTGTGATGTTTGAACAACGGGTTTGTTGTATCAAAGTAGTCCTTCCAGATAAGGAAATGCCCGCTCTCCCGGTTACGATTCAACGCCGGAAGGTGGTCCGGAATGGAGCCACGGAACAATGGCCGCTGGTTGTTGAGGTGCTGGTAAGCAGTATGACTTATATCGCCCACAACTCACTTGTGTTTTACTCGTGCATATAATATCAACACATAAAACCTGGCTCGGATGCCACTGTTGGGGAACATAGTAATTTCAAAAAAAATCATACGCACACGCAAGATTATGGTGATGCATAGCAACGAGAGGGGAGAGTGTTGTCTATGTACCCTTGTAGACCGGCAACGGAAGCGTTGACACAACGTAGAGAAAATAGTCGTACGTCTTCCCGATCCGACCGATCCAAGTACCGAACGTACGGCACCTCCGAGTTCAAAGATATATGCCACCCAGGTGTTAAAACAACTTGTGACAGAACAATACACAGGTGGTGGAATAAGAGAGCACATCCTCAATATGAGCAATATGGCAGCAAAGCTAAAGCCCATGGATGAGGATCTGGAGATCAAACCAAAGCTTCTGGTCCACCTGGTCATGACTTCACTGCCAAAGGAGTTTGAAACTTTTGTTGTGAACTATAATATGTCACCTGGAACATGGGACATTGAAAAGACAATTGCAATGTGTGTCCAAGAAGAGGACAGACTAAAAGCCTCACATGGTGGTACACTCAACTATGTGAAGGATCACAAGAAAAAGAACTACAATCAAAACAACAAAAGTTCTCCTTCAAAGCCACAAGGAAAAGCTCCCTATTAGCATCAGCGTCAGCAACAGTCTTTCCCAGTGGACAAAGACACTTGTCTCCACTGTAAGCAGATCGGGCATTACAAGAAAGACTGCCCTGTTTGGCTGAAGTCCTTAATGGCAAAGCAAGGGATTCCATTCGACCCGAACTACGCTAAGAAGAGAAGGAGGCATTGAAGTAGCCAATGGAATAAAAGCAGAAGTTGAAGCTTAGAGATGTTCTTTATGTTCCTTCATGTAATAGAAATTTAATTAGCGTTTCATGTTTGGACAAAGAAAATTATGAGTGTTATCACTAGTGCAGAACCGGGCAATAGCACCGGTTCATAAGGCCCTTTAGTGCCGGTTATGAAGTGTGATCACTAAAGCCCCCCCCCCCTTAGTACCGGTTCAGCATGAACCGGTGCTAAAGGGCAACCACGTGGCACGAGCCAGCTCCGGGGGCCGGGAGCCCTTTAGTACCGGTTGGTAACACCAACCGGTACTAAAATGTTTGGGGGGTTTTTGGTTTTATGATTTCTTTTTCATTTAATTTTGTGTTTTCCATTTTCATTCTTTTTCGTTTGCTGGTATTTTACGATACTACACATTGTACACGTTATGCATATATATATATATAATTTCTAGTAGAACCAATCATATATATATCATCAATGTCTCACAAACCACCATATTAATTCACACATACACACATGTATAGCTATATACAATTTCTCCTAGATATGCATGTTGCCTTCGAAGCCAGTGGCATTAGCCTAATTGGTGCCTTCGGAGCACGATGACAATTGGAAGTGGTTCATGACCTGGTCGATGGGGGTGGTAGCGGGTAATAGTATTCTCCCTTCGGATTTATGACCTGGTCGAGCAAAAATCCCGCTATTTCCGCTTGAAGTGCTTCTATGCGCTCCGTTTCTAGGAGCTTGTCCTGCACCTCTTTGAACTGTTAAGAAGGAGATCAATATGCATGTGTATTAGTTGTGTGACTAGATATCGATAATGGTGTAAAAATTGTGAATAGTGTTCTGACAAGCGTACCCATTCCTGTCTTTGAGATCTGCTTCTTTCGGACGCCATCATACGAATGTTCTCGCAAACGCAGAATGCACACAGATCAGTCCCCTGCGCCTGCTTCAGGGCCTTTATTACGAGAATAAAATTTAATTTGATCAGATAATAATTAATCAAGCATGATAATTAAAGAGATGGCAGCTAGCTAGCTAGCTAGTACTACTTAATTACTTACCTTGGGTCGAAACCATTTCAGCTGTCGTTTCCATTCGCCTTCCGTGACGCTGATGAACCTTGCCCAAGCCCTGCCCGCCGACAAAGAAAATGAATAAATGGGTTATTAAATAGTTCATATCATGAAATGATGAACTAAATAGGCCGAGATATATAGTTAATAATGATTGAAATTACCTGTTGACTATCCCAAACAAGATGTTATAGTCACTATTTGCTTTGAGTAGTGAGTCCAGTATTTGAACTGTTCCGGCGTCAACTTTAATGATACACAAGATCCAGTGAAATCTGCATGCACACACGTTTGCATGTCTTAATTAAGCGGGCATATGTAAGCAAAAACATGTAGCTAGCTAGTAGGCAAAAACAGAGAATTTGTAGTACAAGAAAGTGTGACTCACTGGAAGTTGTAAGGAAGTAGTATATCTTCATTGTATTTGAGGCGCTTCAAGAACTCTAGCATGCTGTCCTCTACCTGCTTTTCATAATGCTTGTTTATTTTCCATGTGTATTCATTAATGGTGTTTGGGTCAATGAACCCAATGCCATAGCGTCCACCTTTTCCCATTTCATACATCTTCATCCTGCATAATACCACAGAAAAGAATATAGTGAGGATAATTACAGGTAATGATTGATCAAAAGGATCACTACAGCTAGCTTGAGACTTAAATTACAGAAAGAAATCACTTACAGACAATAGCAACTGACGATAGATTTGTCGAGTGCGTCTTGATTGTATAACTGAAACAGTTCAGAATACTCAACGGTCACAGGTTTCTCATGGTAGTAATGATCCTTCTTGACTTGCACCATGAGGGACTCTCGATCGGATCTCTCGGTAATGTCCATGTACCATTGATGCAATTCATACATTCTCGTTGGGAGCTTCTTGACCTCTTCTGGCTTGACCAAAGGATGGCCCTGGGCATATTTCCGTTTTATTTCCTCCTTTGTAAGCACAGGCATGTCCTCGATCTTGAGGAGTTGTCCAACAGTGATGTTGAGAGTTTCAGCCTGCATTATATGCTCCTGGGTTATTACCGCATCGCCCACCTCGGGAACGTAAACTGTTTGCCCACAATAATATTGGGCGCGCGTACTGTCACGTGTTGTTCGCGGCACAACAAGCGGGGGGATCGATTGCGCCGCCTGTTCTCCCAGCTGGGCAACGGTTTTCCTGCATTTTTTGACAGCTGCTTGTTGTTTGCTCGAGCTCGAGCTCGCCTTCTTCTGTAGACGTTGTCGATGTAACTTCCTGATGTGGCGCTCATAGTCTGTGTCAACAGGCTTAGGAGCTGGTGGTTGAGCCATACGAATGAAGTAGTCAACTACTTCCACAGGCACTTTCTCCCTTGGCGGCGGTGGCGGTTTCGGTCCAAAATGGGCGTCGACTTCTGCCCGCACTATGGCATTGGTTTGCTCCTCGGTCCTGTCGTAAGCCCTCTCAGGAAGAGGAGTAGTGAGGTTTGGACCATATTTATATCGCTTGCCTCCGCCTGTACTTCCTGTACTATGACCTCGACTCGTACCGCTACGCACCATAGCTGCGGGGTGTCTCTTCTGCGATTGCTGAGGCGGCGGAGACGGCTGGCGGGGCTGAGTTGGACGAGGAGGAGTGGCCTGAAGCTGTGCCGGACTTGCGGTGGCCTGAGGTTGTAACGGACTTGGAGGAGGAGTGGACGTCTGACGCTGTGTCGGACTTGGAGGAGGAGTGGCCTGACACTTTGCCAGACTTGGAGGAGGAGGAGTGGCCTCACGCGTTGGTGGACTTGGAGGAGCGGGAGTCTGCTGACTCAGTGGCGGACTTCGACGAGGAGTCGGGTGACGCGGTGTCGGTGGCCTTCGAAAGATGATGCAATCCTTTCTCCATAGGATGATACGATGTTTGGCATCTCCGAGTGTGTGCTCCTCGTCACCTCCAGGAATGTCAAGCTCTAGCCCCGAATATTGGTCCACCACCTCATCAACCACGACACGAGTATAGCCTGCTGGAATCGGGTTGCAATGGAAGGTTGCATCGGGGGAATTTGTATAAGCAACGCCGTCCGCCACCTTCAAGGATATGTTCTTAATTTTGAAGTGTAGCTCGCAGTTAGTGTTCTCCGCAATGTCATCCACGGGGTATCTATCCAGCATTGCGTCAAACAGGATGGAACCTACGCTGCTTCTCGGCATGGATGGGGCGGTGGTATCCAATGTAGGATCATCCGCTAGCTGCTGCAGCTGCTGAGACCCCCTTTGCTGGCTAAGTGAGTCGATCTGCTCCTGCTGCCGCTGGAATTTGATTGCCAAGTCCGCGTGCGCTGATTCTAGGCCTTGAAGGCGTTCATAGTCGAGCTTCCTCTGCTCCTCCTCCATCTTCCTCTTCTTCTCCTCCGCAATCTTCTTTCTCGCACGGGTTCTGTAGTCGGCGTTCCAGTCCGAAAACCCCTTATACC